GTAAAAAAAGGTTTTACATAGCATTTTAACTGAAACATATTTCCTAATAAGAGGCTAACTCTGATGAAAGATAAATTTATAACAGAAGAGAACAGACTATCTCCATTGGAAAAACAAATGTTGAAACAGTCCTTTTTGGCAAAGCCAGAATCATGCAGAATAAAAGTCAACAACTGTCTGTGTCCCCAGCGACAGATGTTTGCCTAAATACTACCACCACGGTGATGTCAGGCAGAGACGCTGAAGGCTCAGCCCAAAGATGATTTAAATCACCAGATAGAGCCGCGTGCCGGTGTCTCACGCCTGTAATCCTAGCTACTCAGGAGGCTGAGATTTGAGGATCTTGGTTCAAAGCCAGCCGGGGCAGGAAAGTCCATGAGACTCTTATCGCTAATAAACCACTAGAAAACTGGAAGTGGTGCTGTGGCTTAAGTGGTAGAATACCCTCCTTGAGCTGAAGAGCTGAGGGACAGCGCCTAGGCCCAGAGTTCAAGCCCCACAACCAACAACAACAACAAAAAATCACCAGATAGAATTTGAGTCACGCACACCATCCAAAATTTTAATGTCAGAAAATGCACATTTGGTAGGGAGCAGAGTCAAATCATCTACTGAAATCCAGAAGAAACAAAGAAACAAAAACCCACAATGAAGAAAATTCCCTACAATTATCTGTTTATGTGCTTTGTGAGCAGCGTGGAAGAATTATGCTAAATGGTCATTTAACACAAAAGCATATTCTCATCCCTAGGGAAGCACATTAGAATAAAAAATAAAATTTGAGAGGAATACATGCTGAGAATCATTATTTGTTTTAACAGGAAAAGGGAAAATATTTCCCCCTGACTTTCTTGGAAAATCAAATAATACTCTCCTGTTAAGTCTATCCAAACCACTTTTTATGGCTCCTGAGGGCTTTAAGAAAGTAATAATCTCTCTAAGTCTGTGGGCTGAGCTATCAATTTGTAAAAACATGAAAGTTTTACATGATAGTTTATCTAGATCTATCTGATGTAACATTTTGGAAAGTTTGCCATTGTTGCTTAAATTAAAATGCAGATCTTCAGGTAGAAATTCTTTTTACCTAGTTTGATACAATGAAAGGATCACAAAACAATCGCGATATTGTTCACACAAGTAGTCGGAACAAAGTAAAGAAGTCACCCAGCTCTTCAGTGCCTTTATTCCCTTCCAAGAATGGATTTTCTAGAACCCTTCATCTCCTGGAGATCCATTTGTCCAGTGCATTTTATTAATTATTTGCTAACTCTGCCTTGAATTCGCCAGAGAAGGCTGTTTCAAAGGATATCATCTTCAGTGAAATTTGTATGCTTAAGGTGAATGGTGTAGATACTTTGCAATCACTCAAAAAGACGGTAACATTTTACGCTAGTGCGCGTGGAGAGCATTTCAGAAAAGCATCATATTCATTAAAAGACTAAACAAAAATCTATCAATCAGAGAATGCTGCTTCCTGTCCAGGCTACTCTGATGTCAAGGTCGCTCAATACTAAGTCTCGGTGACTCGGTTGATGCGTTTGTTTTCAAACGTTCCTCCTAGCACGGCGACGCTGTTGCCAGGCAGACGTTCAGTTCACAATCGGCTCAGAGCCTTGTCACTGTACCTCTTTAAGACACAATAAACACATCTCCGCCTAGTCTCACCATCATCAGCCTCTGACATTGCGTAACCGAGTTCTGAAATCATATTTCATGGCAGTGAGTCTGCCAGGGAGAATTTATTGACTTAGCGATCCCATCCAGCACCTCCAGCCATGCGGAACTGCCCCCCCCCAAGTGCGAGGCACAGCAGCAGTGTGAGCGTTTTTCAATTTGGCCCAACTGCCTGGCAAAAGAATTTTCTATTACATGGGTGGGTGAGATCAACCCAGTCTGAAACCGTTCAATTGGCTCTGTGGCAGCCAGGAACGAGCGCACAGAAGGAACTGGAACTGAACTGGAGTCCCTGGGCGGAAGTTCTGCTGGAGTCACAATGCTGAGATAATAAACTGGGAAAACACCATGCTGCCCTCAGGCTCCTCCTGTGGGAGCCACCCCTGGCCTCTGCCCCCGGCCTCCGCCCCCCAGCCTCTGCCCCCGGCCTCCGCCCCCCAGCCTCCATCCCCGGCCTCCACCAGCCTCCACTCGAGGCTCTGCCAGCAGGGAGGCAGCAGGCAGAGGGCCCCGTGCCAGGCAGGGACAGGATGCAGGTTCCTGAGGGAATCTCACTCCCGGGGCTCTGTCATGATTCATTCTCTTGTACAAGGTCAGTAAATAAGATCAGGGACCTCTGGGAATCATGTATGTGTGTGCACACACGTGTGTATGAGTGTGTACGTGTGTCTTCACATGTGTGTTCACAGGGGTGTGTGTGTGTGTGTGTGTGTGCACGCGCGCGAACCAGGGCTTGAACTCAGGGAGGGACTGATGCTCTTCCTGACATTTTTCCACTCAAGGCTGGCACTCTACCACTTGAGCCACACCTCCACTTCTGGCATTTTGCTGTTTAATTGGAAACAAGACTGATTTGTCTGCCCAGGCTGGCTTCGAACCATGACCCTCAGATCTCAGCCCCCTGAGTAGCTGAGCTTGCAGATGTGAGCCACCAGCGCCCAGCTTAGAAACTACTTGTTAGTAGCATGGCAAACATTCAATTCTTCTAGTCTGCAGACATGAGACATCTGTGTGTCCCCTTCAAATATAGATACAGAAAGAAAGAGGATCATGCCTGGGAGACTTGAGATTTGCAAAACAGTGGTATTATCAACAAATAATCTGGAAATAAATAGATTTGTCTACATGTATTTCTGAGACATAAAGAAAACTTGGAATTTGTCATAGAATTAGGAAGAACAGTGACCATCAATGCCCTTCTTCTTCTTCTTCTTCTTTTTTTGTCAGTCATTGGGCCTGGGCGCTGTCCCTCAGCTCTTCAGCTCAAGGCTAGCACTCTACCACTTGAGCCACAACACCACTTCTGGCTCTTTCTGCTTATGTGGTGCTGAGGAATCGAACCCAGGGCCTCATGCATGCAAGGCAAGCGCTCTGCCACTGAGCCACCTTCCCAGCCTTCAGTGCCATTCTTCTTAATGCCAAGAATTCCTGAACTTCAACATGGGATTCCTCATTTCAGAAGACAGCTAATGATGACAAACTGTGGGTAGAGTCTACCTGAGCATTTTCTTGAAGCCAAATGCACAAGTTTAAAACTTAGCAAAGAACAAAACTACTGTTAGGCAGCATTAGATCATATTTTATGGAATATAAGTTTCATGGGTATATGAAAATTATTTTAGCTGGTCCCAGTTTGATTTTCATATAAATGCTAGATTATTTCCAAGCTTTTTGCTATGGTCTGATGCTATCTAAAATTTCACATTGAGTCTAAAATATTCGTATTCTGCATGCAATAGATATTTATTTCCTGGTTTTGGTCATGAGGAAATGTTTTCCATTTCTGCTATGTGTAGAATTAATCAAGATAACTTATGTGCCAGAACGTGTGTCTATTTAACATAAAAGATCATATTTTATTCCACCAAGCTAAAATGTATTGCTCCAATCACCATTCTAATTATATTAATACATTCCAAAAATTTTAAACTCACTACTTTTCACTCAGACCTGGCAATATCTACCACAAAGTACATATAAGTAAATGAAAAACACTTTTATCTCCATTTTCTTCTCTGCTTTGAAACTGGCGCTCACAATGCTGCCCAGGCTGGTCTCAAACTCACGTACTCAAGTGACCCTCCCACGTCACCAGCATGGGCAGCCGTGACCACAGGCTACACCACCGGCGCTGGCTCTGTCTACACTGTATTAATCATGTATTCAGAGTTCATCATAACAAAGAATTTATCAGGAACTTGCTCCAAGACACAGAGGAATTTCAGGCGCAGTCCAAGTTAATCACAGACTTACTTCCAAAGCTTAGTAAATTTTAAGAGTTTAAGGGATCCTTAAAAAAAATACCTGATCAGAGCTGGAGGCCTGGCTCAAGTGGTAGAGCACCTATGCGGCCCATGCAAGGGTCTGTGCCGAGATCCTAGTGCAGCCCCCTTGTGCAGCCTGAGCCTGCGATTTTACTGAGGAACGGGGCCCAGAGCGGGAAGCACAGGTCTGGGGCCGCAAAGCTCACACAGGCTCCGTAAAACTCTGCAGACTTCACGTAGTACTAAAGTACTTTCCATTTCAAAAGTGTTAGTGATCACTTCAAAACACGTCATCGACTCCTCATGTATATCTCTTATGGCAGAGTATACAATGGGGCCTTCATACCTTTTCTGAGTATTTTACCTTGCTTATTGTGTAATAATACATGAGAGAAAAAATGGAGACCTTGTACCCACTTGTTTCATTTTAATAAGGAAAAAGATACAAACTTTCTCCTTGATGTCATTTTTGAAGCTCTCTGCACTGCACACATGATGTGTTTTGTTTTGTTTCCCCTAAAGCTTCATAAAGCCTTCATTGACAACTTCCCTTATTTCTTCTACAACACCTGTCAGAAAAGTGTGGCACAGCTTCTTCACACACAATCAAAACAGCCTGGGTATAGGCCAAGCACCTGCCCTGCATTTAGCAATGCCGCTGTAGGAGATGACCCCATCTCCGTCATGCTCAGAGGAGTCAGAGCACCGGACTCTTGTCTAATCTACCAGAACTAAAGCACTGCCTCTTCTCACAAGGCACTGGGCTTTCAGAATAGCCATGTGACATCGGGCAGATAGGCAGAGGTTTCTGTGTTCCTAGAGACTAATGTCTTAGTCTTTCCAACAATACAACACCGAGGAACTCTTCAGAAGACTGATGGAGAGACACGCTTCGAAATTTCATCCTGGAATTACATAAGATTTCCTGCTTATGATTTAAAAGTGGCTTTTTATATTACTGAGCATATTCCAATCCAATATGAGTTTTCTTACACATACTACACAGATTCTTTATGACAGGCATTGATCAAATGATCAGACACTTCCCGGAACGCATCCTACCTGCTCAGAGAAGAGGTTGCTGCTGTCCTCCAGGTATTTGCTGAACGGGTTGGGCTCGTACACTTCCTCCTCATTCTTCAGTAATATTCTGGATCTTACAGGTACTGGTCGAATTACTCCAGGTTTAGTCTTTATGGAAGACAAGTTAATTTTTTAATGAGAGGGGAAAAAAAACCCACAAAATGAATAAATGAGTATTATGAGGTCATTAGCTGTTCTCAGCAAGTATAAATGTTATATAAATGGCTAAAAAGCAGTTTGGAGGACAAATGTAAGGTAACTGAATTATTGCTAATCATAAAACCAGAGAGCTGTTTGATTGTGGCAACAGTCAAGTTCTAAACACCTAAACATTGATTGCGCAGATGCTCGAAAGCCACGCTGTCCTCCCTGATCCAGCCAAGCACGCCCCTCCAGCCCTGCCGGGGACCATGTTTACCAAGAGCCTCTTTTGTGACAGGGAAGCAGAGTGCTGCTTGGGGACAGCCGCTAAACCTGTGACAACTTCCTGTCTCTCGAAGCTGTTCCTGGACCCCCAAATCCACAGAGGTGGGCCTCAGGAGATGGAGCCAGAGCCGGTAAGCATATAGTCCCTCCCTCCCCACACACACACCAAACCCCCCGCCCTTTGGTATGTTGCTGTCAGTTGCCCTGCAGTTCCTCTGGGAGCCTGGAATATCATACAGCAGTGTGGAAGCTGCGAGAAACCTTACTGCGGGTTAAAAACCAAATCCCCGGAGGAGTTTAAAGTGCGTGGCGAGGCCGCGCAGGCCTGGGAGACACGACACTGTCCGAAGTGACTGCAAACAGTACTGGCGCTGCAGAGCTTCCTGCCTGAGACTCCCTCCATTACCTCTTTCTTATACAATTTTTTTCCTAACTGAAGTTTATTTCTCTCACTTGCGATCAAACGAGTTTTAGCCAAACCCATCCATCACTCATGATTTATAAAATTGTACCCACTGTTAATTTGACAGAGAGGAAGAGAGCTGTAGTTTGGGGCCACTGGAAGCAATGTTTCACCAACTCGGAAATCTCATTTCACTGATAAATGTCACAGAGATGATTGATACATTTCCAAAAGCATCTAAAAACGCAATAAGAACCGGTGACACTTTCTGTGGGAGCATTTGCCAGTGATTATCCTTCCCGACCCCGTAGCCTTTAGGAAAACAGCAAATGAGCTCTCCGCCGGCCTTGCGGCCCCGGAGGTAAGCCCAGACGCCGCATCTGCCGTCCACTCTGCAAAGCGCCAGATGTGTTTTGAGTGTGGAATAACTGTGGCTCTGCAGCACTTTGTCCAGTGGTGTCTCCCTCGCTGTTGTTGGTGAGTGTGCAAGTGGGGAAACACAACTTGAGGAAAATGTCTTCTTTCCCAGGCTAAGAAATTTCTCCTACTTAAAAAGAACACCTTGATTTCTCTCGAGGGAAAAAACGGGGCCCGTGACATCCAATTATGTGTGGAGTCTGGGAGAGTGAGAGCACTGTCAGAACTCAGCAGGAGAACAGAGCCAGGATTCGCTTATTTCTGCGGCCACTTGTGTTGTGAGGGGGGGCGCCGGTCGCGGGCCCGGGATCCTCGCTTGGACGGACTCCCTAACTCTTTCCACTTGACCTGACCACCAGCTCCACTCTCCTTCTCTTCAACTCCTTTGTGAAGTCAATGCAGAGCATCAACACAACCCCAGCACTCAGGCCTATCAGACACCAAAGCCAATATGGACCTTTCGGGGCAAGCAAGGTGTCAATGGGAGGCAGGGAAAAGAAACCCTACCAGCAGTTCATGGCACGTGAGGAAACAGCGGAGGCTCCACTGCCGGCAGGCAGACGTGTTCCACGGGTGCCCTGGAGCACGGCAGTGAACCGCAGGACTTGTGCCTGGCACCACCCAGGGCAAGACCAGAGGAGGCTTTTCTGGCTGAGTAAATATGATGTACTTCCGGGTCGAAGGTGGGTTGCTGATGGTCTGGGTTTGCCCCTCTGATGGGTCTTATGTGATTCCCTGGAGCTCCTGGATGTCGGGGTTGTCCGTTTGCTGGAGAAGCACTGGAGGGGCTCTGTCTCCTCTGTTCTAGCAGATTCTCCACGCGTGCTTATGCTGTCTGCATTCCACTGGCACACCCCAAGTCCTTCCCCTCACCCGGCTCTCATCTGCACGCCATTGCTCTTCGCCTTGAGCGCAGCTATTGCTTCCTGCTCACGTGTTTGCAGCTGCATTTTTCATTTGTTGCAGTTTGTCATCAGTATTTCACAGACACGGAAGCCAAGTCAGGGGGACTGGACACGATCTGCCTTTGAAACTTCACTTTCCTTCTCTCGGCCCTTACCCATGGCCCCCAACCCAGATGTCTGTCAGCACTGGCCAACCTAGCAGCCTAGCCCGGTGCCCACCTCTGAATGTCACATGTCCACACGTTTTATTGTTTGTCCTGCCCTGTCCTTCCATCCCTCGGGAGCCGTACCACACAGGAGTAGCAGGGGGCACATTTCTACGTATTCAAACCCATCTTCCAGGTATCAGTCTTGAAGCATGTTTTATCCCATCTTTGGAGCAGAATGCGGGACTGGTGTGGCTGCTCCTCGGATAATGTTTCTCAGGGGACCGGCCACCGGCCCATTCTTGCAAGCACAGCATTTCTCAGTGGTAAGTGGGCGCAGGATCTGCATTTGCAAACACTAAATTGCCACATGATGTGAACTAACGGCTCCATCCACGTAAGGCATTATTCGCTAGAACCCTGACTCCAAATGGGCCTGAAGGCCAGCAGTGTGAGCACCCAGAGCCCGCACCAGCGCCGATCTCAGACCCACCTCGGGATTCCAACCTGCACTTCACCCAGAGCCCGCACCAGCGCCGATCTCAGACCCTACAAGACCTCGGGATTCCAACCTGCACTTCACCCAGGCCCTAGAGGGCTTTCCATTAGACTAGAGATCATCCTGTTAAACATGCTGCAGATCTGCAGACAGGTAGGTAGATAGATACAGTAGGTAGGTACAATCGGTCAATCAATCTCACAGACCTCATCTACTTGTTTCCACAGGTGGAAGGGGAGACTGGTGCACTCATGTCTAATAAGTATGACATCTTTGCTCAGTCACCTAATACCTTTGATTGTGCGGTAGAGGTTTTCTTGAGGAACATGTTTACTTTTTGCAAATATAGTTTGCTAAGTCTGTATACACATAAACACAAAAGAAATAAGATCATCCAAATTAGGGAATTCTGTAAAATGGGCTATTATATTGCAACTATTCAGTACTCTTACAACTCAACCAGCCCTGAAAGAGCTTTCTCTTTTTTCTTTCTCTTCCTTCCTTCCTTCTTTCCTTTCTTTCTTTCTATTTTTTTTCTTTTTGGTATTGGTCTTGGGTCTTTGAACTCAATGCCCAGAGCTATCCCTGAGCTTCTTCACTCAAAGCTGATGCTCTCTTTTACTCAAAGCTGACCTCTTAAACCACAACTCCACTTCTAGATCTTTTTTGTGGTTAATTGGAGATCAGAGTCTCGTGGACTTTCTTGCATGGGCTGGCTCTGAACCACAATCTTCGGATCCCAGGCTCTTGAGTAGCTGGGATGACAGGCATGAGCCACCAGCACTCATTTTCATCTGCTTTAGAATCCATCGGAGAGGTAGACTCACAAAAGCCAGACACAATGGTCATGTTCATGACGTCAAGAAAAGCAACTGCAGATGGGAAAACACGTTAAAGAGCCTGTTCTCAACGCTAGCCTCAAGCTACAGAATGAGCTCTGGAAGACCGTCCAGGTGGCACAGGTCCATTTTCTATGAGGGGCTTACTGAGAACGGATTCACCCTGGGAACAGGACATTCTGAAGTGCCTCGGAGTTCAAACAATTCCCTGGCGATGCTCAACAGACCTCTACCAGACACTGCCGCTGGAGAGAGAGTCTCCACTGCAACTGCGGGGTCCAGAGCTCAGGAGAAGGGAGCTCTCGTTATGGGGCTCAGGGTCCAGAGGCAGGATCAGGACAACGCTCTTGATGTAGGGGCCTCGCAATGCAGGTGAGGAAGCAGCAGGTGACCGAGGTACAGGTCACTCAACCCCTGCGCAATGTCACTCAGACCCATGGAAAACCTGCCAACTGGACCCTCCATACTTCTTCTTTCCCAAGGAGAGGTGTTAGGGCCCTGAATGCCAGCCGTTGGCCACAATTCCACACTCAGTGAGATTCTGAGACTCCAATAAGGTAACGTGCACCATGGGGCTACCTAAAGAACATCAAAGAAGTCTGAAGGGAAAAAGGAATTTATATGAATTTATTCATAAATACAAAATGTTAGCTCATAGGTGACCTAGACTCTCTCCACTGAAGTATCATAATTATGTATATAATTATGTTTCATTAAAAAATAAATGTGCTAGGTGCCAGTGGCTCACACCTATAATCCTAACTACTCAGGAGGCCGATATCTAAGAATCTCGGTTCAAAGCCAGACCAGGCAGGAAAGTCCGTGAGACTCTTATCTCCAATAAACCATTCAGAAAACCTGAAGTGGCGCTGTGACTCACGCGGTAGAGCACTCGCCTTGAGCTGAAGAGCTGAGGGACAGCGCCCAGGCCCAGAGTTGAAGCCCCACGACCGACAAAAATCAATCAATCTATCAATAAGCATGAGGCTTGGGCAATAATTATGGCCCAGAGCTGAAGAATCGTGATGGATGATATAATACAAATGGACCACTTTGAACTACTTCAGGTACAGCACGCTGCAGGCTGAGCAGGCTCCTGGTCAATGCCAGCTCTTCAGCATGTTTGCCAAGGGAACCTGGTCAAGGAGAAACTGTCTTTGAGCCTGAGGAAGACATCATCAGTTCCACACAAAAGCTTTTCCAAACAACAGAGATCTCACGAGGCCTCAGAGCAATGAGTCACGCACCACCCAGGCAGGAACAGCAGCCGGCTCCGGGAGCTCGGAGAAAGTCTCCGTGAGGTTCACGCCTCTCCTTTATGCTGTTCCAGTAGACGGCATCCTGCTTGTGCTGCATCTCACCCTGGGGCTTATTCTCCATCTCTTGAGGTCTACTCTCTCACCATCAGCCCTCTACCCAGAACAGCCGTGAACGATTGGCAATGGCAGGAGATTTCAAAAGCAAGGCCCAAGGCCACCCCTGAGCTCAAGCCTGAGCCCCGTCTCATGTGGTGAGCTGGGTCCTGCACTGTCCTCTGCCACCACGGGCTGTCCCTGCTCAGGGATGAGGAAGCTGCTCATCCAGAGGACACAGCTCCCCTTGCTGCTGGTGCTTATTCTGCCCAGAGCATTGCTCTTAGCATTGCTCCCAGAGCTCAGCACCGACCGCACCAACCGGCCTGGACACAAGGGACCCAAATCCCCCCGTTCTTCACCAGCCCTTCCTGATCTTGCCTCGAGTGCTCAGAACCAGTGATTTACAAACAGCGATTCCTGTCTGTAAAGTGCACAGAACAAGGTGCTACCACGATGATCTGTGTTGACTCCATACGCCTCGATGTCACCACAATGATTTCCTATTATCCCTGCATCTTTCAGAGACTCGAGGCACAACAATCCCTGCTCGGTGCACAGAAACCCTTCTGGTGGGCAGAAGAGTTCTTCCAGCATGTTGATTAAAATGGGATGGGATTAGCAAACCAGCTTCATAAAGGACTCCCTTCCAGAGAAAACAATGAACAATGTACACATGCAGACACACATGCACACATGCACACACAAGCACAGAGCACATGCTCTGCCACTGAGCTACAGGGCAAATATTTTAAGTAATGAGATTGATGGTCTTATTCCCTGCTAATGTTGATCTGATACAACTGCAATGCAACAAGCAAATAGGCAGGTTAAGTGCTAAATGAAAACACTATCAGTGATATGCTACAATATCTTTTAAAGGATAGTACTGTGATAGTCTCACCATTTGAGCTTTTGGTTAAACTTGAGCCACCACAGCAATTTGTCATATGCTTCCTTTCTATGGTCCACTATGGTCACATTATGACATTTTTATAAATTCTCCTGTTACCCCATGTCTTTCTTTTCTAGTTCTTAATAGGTTTCATTATGCTAGTTGTGTACATAAACCTACTATGTTAGTACGTGACTCCCCTATAAAGGAAATCAAACCATTATCATATGAACTGCTTGTTTTACATTAAAATCTTTACCATGTAATTAACTCTACCACATCATATAGTACTAATATTTTTGTGATAGGTATTAGACATTCATAAAGATGGATCCATGCAATCAGAACTCCCTGCCATGTCAGCATGCATGCACACTAGGAACACGTATGTATAATGTGTATGAGTGCCCCAAGTGTCATTTTTCAAGGGCATCTTATTTAGTCACATTATTCCAAGTTGAATCACTCAAGTTACAAAGAAATTTATAACTTTATAAGTTATGTCACTAAAGAATAGTATATAATATTACATATGATTATTTCCACTCTGATTTATCATATTCCTGGGGTGCATAAATCCAGGGTTGCTGTCATGAGAGAGAAATCAAAGTATTTGGGTTGGATAATTACACCACTCCAAGAGATGTTCATTTCTTTGTGTGATAAGCTTGCTTGATAATAATCCCTCTACAAACAAACCTATATCTCAAGGAAATTTTGAGATTAAAACTTAAATTTAAAACTTGGTTGAGAAATGCCTTGAACTCTTTAGAGTAAAACTCTTTAAAACTCTAATGTAAGTACAAAGGAGTTGTCATCTAAATCAATCAAAGTAATACTTCCTATTTTCCCCTTGAGAACACAAACACAGGATTATTTCATCAACCAAAACGTGGTTCTTAGTGCATTCGTTTTTACTATAGTTAATTTAATAAAATCATATGCATATAGATGTGTGCAACAAATGTATTTGCTCTTTTGAAATAGTTCATGGAAGTAGCTTGATGTAGTGTGCATGTGTGCGCGCACACACACACATACACCACACACATTCCATCAGCTGACGCATAAAAAATCTGTATTTTGTAATCTATATGGAGTGAAATTCGGTATGAATATGATCAAAACACTTTTGTGATTTCCATATCTTACTCTGAAGAAGCGCGTGTATCATGTTTTTTAATTAATGGAATGGTAGTAATATTTCCACTCTAAAGTGGGAGCTGGTCGATTGTGTGAAGCTCCTGCAATGGCTGTTGGCGTTCCCGGTGTGAGTAACCACAGAGCCGGGCCTGGAGGAGCATGGGAATTACATCATGGAATGCTCTCACAGTTCAGTTAGGAGATGGATGTCCGATCGCCCGTGCATGACACCTACCCGCCGTCAGCCCCGTAGTGAGGTCGGCAGGAAGTGTGCGTTGTGTCTTCTGACATGCATTCCAGCATGCTTCCTGGTCTAAACCAACTGGCACTAATATTATTCACACACATGCCTTCAAAGACACCCTACCCATTGAGGTTGCCACACGTGCCAAATGGCTTTGATTGCGTGGGGCTATTTTAAGGTGACAAGTGCACGTGCTGTCTGTGAGCGGGTGAGTGGGCAGCAGGAAGTATTTGGCTGGGGCTCAGACTCTTGCACTGGCTCCACAAGTGCTCTACCACTTGAGCCACACCTCCAGTCCCATGATTCCCCCCCATGATCTTTCAGTATTACAAATAAAGTATCATTTTCTCTGTTATCAAGATACCTAAAGAATTGCTAGAAAACAGAAGAATTGTTTTAGAAGGTGACTTTTGGCTTCTTTTTTGTGTCAAATTGCTTTGTTACATGTTATTATAATTTTTAGTGATGATCTGTTGTTTAAGAATTTATAATATTTTAGACAGTAAAAATTTGAAGACATAAGGAAAATGCTTAATGGTTGGCATCTAGAAAACCTAGGGCTTAAATGTGCTAACTGGGAAGAATAAGAAATAGAAAACACTTTTAATAAGCATTCTTTTACTCTAAATGCTATCTGGAAAGTCTGGATTTTGGAATTTAGATCTGTGCTGCTCATTGGACCCACACCCAACCTGAACTGTCATCAGCTATACAAGTAAAACGCGTCTCAAAAAATTAATAAATAAAACATATCAATTTCATCCTGAAAATGCACTGAAATCCTATTTATCTACAGTCAAGTGGAATGCATCACTTAGCTTTCTATGTTTCTTCTACTTTTTATGTAGTTACCAGAAATTTCAAGATGGCCTACGTGGGTTGTATGATTATCTTTCACATTATTTTCTCTTCATCCTCTCTGCACTAACGCTCCTGGGTGACTGTCTCCTCGCTCATTTCCACAAATCCAGAAGCTTCTTTAAATGCTCAGCTGCCCCCTTCGCCTTGAGTCCCTGCAGGGTCTCTTCCATCCACAGCTGAACTCTCCTCTCCAGGTGACCCAGCCCAGCCCCCTCCAGAGCAATGAGCTGTGTGTGCAGTGTGGGCTGTGTGTGCAGTGTGGGCTGTGTGTGCAGTGTGGGCTGTGTGTGCAGTGTGGGCTGTGTGTGCAGTGTGGGC